ACGCGTCTAGTAGCACGCGACGCGAAAGTTTATTAGTATTATTATTAGTTGTTTGTTGTTCTCTCATCCGCCCCTGCTTGCACGAGGCGCCCCTGCGCTTCTGAATTGGAGGCGCGGGGGCGCGGCGCCTGCCCCCGCCTCCCGCGGGCGGACTTCGGCCCGCCCATGTTGGTGCGTTCTCTGTCTGTCTGTCTGTCTGTGTGTATGTATGTCCGTCTCCCTCCTTTTATATTTTTTTTTCTCTCTCTCTCTCTCTCTCTCTTTCTCTTCTCTCTCTCTCTCTCTCTGTCGGAGGCGGGTCGCGGGCCCTTCGGTCGCAAGTGGGCCGCGTGCCTGGTAGCGGAGCGCGGGGGGGCGTAGGTCGGGCGTTTAGGTCGGCAAACTTAGGTTGTAGGCTCGGGCGCGTAGGCGTAGGTCGGGCGTTTAGGTTCGGGCGCTTAGGTTGTGCGTGTGTGTGTGTGCGTGTGTGTGTGCGCGTGTGTGTGTTTGTGTGTGCGTGCGTTCGTGTGCGTGTGCGCGTGTGTGCATGTGTGTGCGTGTGCGTTTGAGTGCGCGTGTGTCTCTGTCCTAGGGCTGCCCTTGCTTTTTTTTTTTTTTTTGCGGCCGCGCGCGCGCGCCCCGCCCATCGGCGGGCGCGCGCGCGCGGCCCACGCATGCGCAGTACCACGAGCCCGACAGGCGGCAGCGGAGTCCCAGAGCGAGGCGGAGGCGTGGGCGCTGCCCCCTCTCCCTCTCCTGCGACTAGCGCGGGCCCATGCTGCTGGCGAGCATATACGCGTTCCACAATCGAGTAGTCTCTCTCTCTCTCTCTCTCTCTTTCTCGCTCTCTCTTTTTCCCCATATCCTAAGATGGGCTTACTGTTATTACTTGGACGCCTCCCACTCCTCCTCCTTCTTCCTCCTCCTCTTTTCTCGCCCCCTCCTGTCGGACATGCTCAGACTTGCTCATACACATACTTACTCATATTCAGACTTACTCATACTCAGACCTACTCATACTCAGACTTACTCACACTCAGACATACTCATATACAGACTTACTCATACACAGACTTACTCATACACAGTATTAGTCATACCCATACGTACACATACGCAGACTTACTCATACACAGACTTACTCACGCTCAGCACCCCGAAGGGGAGCCGCCAGGGGTGGTTGCACGGGCTCGTGCGCGGCCATTGTGTGGGGATGTCTCAGGCGGTTTGCCTGTTTCTGTGCCCAACGTCCTTCGCTTTCGGAGCAGATTTGGAGGATGTCTCGAGCGAGGCGCTCATTTCAGCACCCTAGGGGGAGCCGCCAGGGGTGGTTGCACGGGCTCGTTCGCGGCCATTTTGTGGGGATGTCTCAGGCGGTTTGCTTGGTTCTGTGCCCAACATCCTTCGCTTTTGGAGCAGATTTGGAGGATGTCTCGAGCGAGGCGCTCATTTCAGCACCCCTAAGGGGAGCCCCCAGGGGTGGTTGCACGGGCTCGTTCGCGGCCATTTTGTGGGGATGTCTCAGGCGGTTTGCTTGTTTCTGTGACCAACATCCTTCGCTTTCGGAGCAGAGTTGGAGGATGTCTCGAGCGAGGCGCTCATTTCACCCCTAGGGAGCCGCCAGGGGTGGTTGCACGGGCTCGTTCGCGGCCATTTTGTGGGGATGTCTCAGGCGGTTTGCTTGTTTCTGTGCCCAACATCCATCGCATTCGGAGCAGATTTGGAGGATGTCTCGAGCGATGCGCTCATTTCAGCACCCCTAAGGGGAGCCGCCAGGGGTGGTTGCACGGGCTCGTTCGCGGCCATTGTGTGGGGATGTCTCAGGCGCAGATTCTTCTCGGGATGCCACAGGAGGCTCCAACAGGCTCCAGGAGGCTCCAGGAGACCACATGAGGTCCCAGGAGGCATCAGGAGGCCACAGAAAGACTCAAGAGGCCACAGGATGTCCCAAGAGGCGCCAGGAGGCCCCAGGAAGCTCCAGAAGGCCTGAGGAAACCACAGGAGACCCCAGGAGACAACAGGAAGCGCCAGGAGGCCTCGGACGGCAACAGGAGGCCCCGAGAGGCCCCAGGAGCAGGAGGCCTCAGAAGGCAACAGGAGTGGCTCCAATCCCATGTGTGTTACGTATGATCCTATCGATTGGGCCCCACCTGGAGCACGATTCTTTGATGTTCTACGTGTGTTTTTATAGATGGTCCTTCTCCTGTGTGCACAATCCTAAATGTTTTACTCATGTTCCTATGTATTTGGCCTCTCCTGGGGCACGAGTCCTTGGTGGTTTACGCGTGTTCCTATATATTGCCCTTTTCCTGTGGCTCTAATCCGCAATGTTTTATGTGCGTCTGTTGCTATAGATTGCGCTTCCCCTGGGGGCACGAAACCTTCCTAGGAGGTCCCAGGAGGTCCCAAGAGACTCCTGGGGACCCCAGGAAGCCCCAAGAGGTTTCAGGAGGCCCCAGGAGGCCCCAGGCTCATGCACAGAGACGCGCTCGTACTATACTTAGGCTCATTCACACTCCAATTCATTCGCAGTTAGATTGATGTCCAGACCGTCACAACTGAAGCCCGTTAATATTCGAAAGCTTTTGCGCCTAGACATTCACGGCGGACAGGTCCATGCGAGTAGATGCACATATGGGGAGCTCCACGCAGTGACTAATTCTCTCTCTCTCTCTCTCTCTCTCTTTCTCTCTTTCTCTCTCACTCTCTCTCTCTCTCTCTCTCCCTCTTTCTCTCTCTCTCTCTCTCTCTCTCTCTCTCTCCCTCTTTCTCCCTCTCCCTCTTTCTCCGAGACGCCCAATATGGCCCCGCGGGGCCATCTCCCTCTCCCTCTCCCTCTTTCTCCGAGACGCCCAATATGGCCCCGCGGGGCCATCTCCCAAAAGGCCCTCACCCATGCAAAACAACAGTTGCTTCAGTCAACCCGCGTCGTGAGGATGGGCAACCTTCCCAGGGCTACCCTTGCATCGTTGTCCCGTCGGCCCATCCTTTGCGACTTCACCTGTCAGCCTCGCTTGAAAAAACGCCATGGGCCTCCTGGGGCTGCGCATCCTTACCGCGCATCCTTGCGACGCGGGCTGACTGCAGCCAACGTGAAACAATCCGTAGACATTTCGTCTCTGATCAAGTCCTGGTCCGATTCTGGCCCGATGGCGGCCCCCCCTCCCACCAAGACGTTCACGGAACTCAAGCGATGGCGCACGAGTCAGTCGTGGGACGGCTGGACAGGCCGTCTCATCGCGCTCTCATGGAGCGAGGGCGGCGTCGAGGAGACATGGAGGTGGAAGCCGCCCAACATGGACGGCAAGGGCGACGGCAAGGGCGACGGCGAGGGCGACGACCCGAGCAACGGTGAGGGCGAGGGCGACGGCAAGGGCGGCGGCAAAGGCAAGGGCAAGGACAAGGACAAGGACAACAAGGCCCAGGGCAAGGGCGGCGGCAAGGGCAAGGGCGGCGGCAACGGCAAGAAGAAGGCCCAGGACAAGGCCAACGACGGCAAGGCCAAGGACGGCAAGGCCAAGGACGGCAAGGCCAAGGACGGCAAGGCCAAGGACGGCAAGGCCCAGGGCAAGGACGGCAAGGCCAAGGACGGCAAGGCCAAGGACGGCAAGGCCAAGGACGGCAAGGCCAAGGACGGCAAGGCCCAGGGCAAGGACGGCAAGGCCAAGGACGGCAAGGCCAAGGACGGCAAGGCCAAGGCGGCAAGGCCAAGGCGGCAAAGGGCAAGGGCAAACGAGACGGTGAGCAGCCCGACGGCCCAGCCCGACGGAGGAGGAGGAGGAGGAGGAGGGGGAGGAGGAGGAGGAGGAGGAGGAGGAGGAGGAGGAGGAGGAGGAGGAGGAGGTGGAGGACGGAGGAGGAGCAGGGAGGAGGAGGGAGGAGGAGGATGGAGCCTCACCTGCGGCCTCACTTGGCGCCCGCCGCATCGGGCGCACTGGGAGCTTGATCTGACTTGGGGTAGGCGAACCCTCGGCATAGATGCCTGGTGGCATGCGTAAGCCATCTTTCTACATCTCAATCGTCTCTCGGGCTCATCGGTAGTAGTAGTAGTAGTAGTAGTAGTAGTAGTAGTAGTAGTAGTAGTAGTAGTAGTAGTAGTAGTAGTAGTAGTAGTAGTAGTAGTAGTAGTAGTAGTAGTAGTAGTAGTAGTAGTAGTAGTAGTAGTAGTAGTAGTAGTAGTAGTAGTAGTAGTAGTAGTAGTAGTAGTAGTAGTAGGTAGTAGTCTAGTAGTAATGGCATCGGCATCACATCGGCATCACATCGTCACCTCCCCCTCCGCGCTCGAAATTACAGGCTCGAAAATGCAATAATCTGGGGCTCGAAATTGCAATCGACATTTCCATCGCGATCGAAATTGCGCGATCGAAATTGCGGGCTCCGATTTTGAGTTCTCCCGATCGAAATTGCAGAGAAATTTCTGCAAGATGCATCTTGCAGAACTTCTCTCGGAATTTGGAGAACGGAGGATCAGGGGACAGGCTCATTACCGGGGGCGGTGTCAGGTTCTCGGCCAAACCCCTCTTCCCGTCGATGCCGTTCCCGCCCGTCGACTCCGGGATCTGGACGGCGAACGACGTCGAGAGCGACGGCGAGGGCGCTGGTGACCACGGCGATCGCAGCGCACCGATGGACGCAGAGGCGCTCTCCGGGTAAAGGAGGGCAGAGCGTCGATATCGTTGCTCGCGTCGGCCTGGCCCAGTCCCTCCCTCTCCCTCCCTCTCCCTCTCTCCCTCCTTCTGCTTTCTCTCCCAGTGTCTCTCCCCCCTCTCTCTCTCTCTCTCTCTCTCTCCCGCCCCCCCCCCCTCTCTCCATCCCCGCCCCCCTCGCCCCGTTCTGTCGCTCGATGTTGTCTAGGCTATCCTTCATCGCCCCCCCATGCCAGTGCACCCCGCCCCTTCCCCAAGACCGTGAATTCAAATCCAAAGAAAATCGGAGTTGGCTCACGCGTGCGTTTCAGGGGCCACGAGTCCTTAGTGAGCCAATGCATCCCCCGTCGAGCCCCCCCCCACCCGCGCCGCGAGGAAGGCCCTCGCTTCCGCGCTTCCCAGCAGGCGCTGCGCAGCGTTGCACGGGCGATGCGCTCGGCGGCGCTGGCTCTGAGCAGCGGAGCCCACGCTGGCGCAGACGACTTCGCCCACCGCATGAGGCTGGATGTGATGAAGGACTCCGTGCTGAAACTAGACAGGTGGGCAGATGATTTGGCCAGCGCGGCTGGCGAGACGCGCCAGGGCATCGGCAAGTTCCGCCACTCGAGCTTGCAGCTGGTCGAGGTCATCAGGACGGCGGCTTTCGTGAAGGGCGGGCCGTCCAGGTTGCACGATGTCGTCATTCGAGCTCTTGCGGTATCTTGCCCTCCGAGTCTCGCCGGCACGATATGCAGGGGGTTTCTGGAGTGGACGCAGATTACGACGACCAGCTGCGCGATCCATCGACACTGCCGAGCGCTTCTACGGTGGCGCGCGGGCACCTGTCTCTCGACGTCGCCATGGCGCTGAATCGGAGGAGGACGTTCCACCCCGACACCTTCCGGTACCTGTGGACCGACTCGTCGCCTCACGCCGGGTTCGACTGGCTGTGGTCGCAGTGCCACGAGATCCGTCGCGACAGAGTCGTCCAAGTGTGCAAGGACGTCCATTTGTTGATCACCAGGATTGCTGCACATGCGGAGACAATTGAGAAGAGCGGCGGTGCAGTTCCACATGACCCTCTACCTGAATGGGCACCGTTGCTGAAGTCGATGCTCGACATCAGGGAGCACGTCTTCGTGCCGACGTCGCTGGCCATGGGTCGCACTGGGATTTCGCACAAGATCTCTGCGCTCGTCCATCAGTGGGGCTTGGAGCTGCCAGAGGGGGTCGGCTTGAAGGCGATGGCACGCTCGTTTATTTCGCACACGTCTGATATGGGGGTGGAGATGTCGATCCCCGATTACAGCGTCGCCGACCACGAGGGCCTCAGCGCGACGTGGTTGGACAGGGCCCCCCTCAGGTTGGACGCAGAATGCGTGCCCCCCGCCTTCGAGGACCGGGGCGACCTGTCCGCCGCTGGCGCCGAGCGCGCCGTCGAAGCCGATTGCCAGATGAGCGAGGACAATGGGCGCGAGAATCTTGGATGGAGGGTGGGTTCAGTCAGCGCGGCTTCGGTTCGGAAGGGGGCCCGTCATTCGGACGAGGACGAGGCGGGGGAGGAGGAGGGGGAGGAGGAGGAGGAGGAAGAGCCGGAGGAGGAGGAGGTGGAGGTGGATAGATGGATGGATGGATGGATGAGGGAGGAGCGGGAAGAAGGAGTAGGCGGAGGAGGAAGTTGAGGGCGAGCAGAAAGGCCAGTGGCCTTTTGGAGGCCTCTTGGAGCGTTTTTGGGGTCTCTTGGCGGCCCTCGGGGCGGTTGCCCTCAGCGGTGCGAGCGCCGAATGCATTTAGGCCGACCCGACCAGGATGGCGCGTTCATGCCGGAGGCCCTCACGATCTATGGCTTTCAACATTTGACGAGCAATCTCAACGCAGATGTTCATGGGTCCCTCGGCCATTGGGAGGTTTTCTTCAACGAGGTCAAGAATTTGTCCACGCTGCTGTGCCATCAGGGCAGACGGATGCTTTTCGTTTCTCAGTGCCTCCGGGGGGCTCCGTTCGAGTGGGCCGAGAAGAAGTTCAAGCGATTCGACGGCAATTTGTACGAGAAGCGTTGGAGGTTCTCGCAGGGGGTCGCCAAGTATCCAGTCTAACCTTACCCCTTGAGCCGCGTCTCCCATCCCATGGGCTTTTCGAATGTTTGCTGATTTTCAGGGTGTCTGTGACGCATTTCCCATGCTCGCTGCTGTCGCCTCCCTCCTACGTGTTCCGTGCTGCCTCGGCAAATCATTTCTCTCTTCTGCCGTTGCGTCTCCTCCCATCCCATAGGTTCGTCCTCGCCTTCCTGCGCTCGGCGAAGCCGCTGCTCTCGGTGCTGCAGCGGGCCTTCAGCGCGGAGAAGTACATCGCAGGTTACCACTTAGAGGGGGCGGAGGCGGGGGAGCGCGAGTTCAACCCGCAGATGCTCGAAGCCACGCTGTCCCAGAGGTTCTTCCACGCCTACGTCGACTTCGCCCTCGAGGTCGACGTCTTGCCCGAGAAGGTGTTGGCCTCGTGGGGGGAGGGCTGCCAGTGCCACGAGCCCTTGTTCAAGCTGGGCAAGGGGAGTTTGAGGGCTGAAGGTGCATAGGGGGCCCGAAACTCACGCGTAGGGATCCGATGGCCTGGGCAGGGAAGTCTTGATTTCAGCGATATCGCAATCATCGTCGTTCGCATTTGCGTGGGTCCTCGTCGTTGGCCGCCGGCCAGGGGAACGACCCCGCCGCTTTTCGGAGTCCGGAGCTCCACGTCGGCGCCCTGGCCCACGCAGCATTGCCTCATGCACCTTTCTCGCCGCGCCCCTACTCCAGGGGCGAGGAGGACGAGAAGGGGAAGGCGAGGAGAGAGGGGGGGAGGGAGGGAGGAGGATGAAGAGGAGCAGGGAGGATCCCTTCTCCTCCTCCTACTCCTCCTCCTCCCCCTCCTCTTCCTCCTCCGCCATTCTTCGTGGCCCTTAGCCTCGGCCCTCCACTTTCTCTTCTCGTCGTCATGCCCCCGCCCTCGCCTCCCTTCTCCGCCTCGTCGTCTAATGCTCCCGTCGTCGTCATCAGCCCCTGCTCTAGCTCGCGCGCCCCGAGGTGGGCGGGCCTCGGAGGGCATGAGCGCCTACGAGAGAGGCCTCCTGCTGAGCAAGCACTTCGGCAACGCTTGCAGGGTGTGCCCCATGAGCGGGAAGAGGGCGCCCGAGATCGTCGGCGGTCGTCTCGAGGAGCTCTTCGACTGGGTGTGGCAGGACTGCGAGTGTTCGGTGGCCGCGTCGGCGACTCTGCACAACCTGAGTCGCAGCGAGACGGAGAGGCTCAGGGCCGATATGCTCACGGCGAGGTCGTTGCAGACGGCGCTGCTCGGGGTCAAGTGCGCGTACTGGAAGGCCCTCCCATGGACGTTGATTGGCCTCGCGCAGTTGGATGAGGAGCGGGCCCGTCAGAGCGGGCAGCTTTCCCTCGACCAGTTCGCCAAGGCCCCCAGCGCCCCGCCAGCGCAACATCGCATCACGTGGAAGCTGCTCCAGCCAGGTGCCCCTTTCAGGATCGAGCTCGAGAAGTTCGTGGGAGGCGCCAGCAGATGGAGCTTAGCAAGCCATTTCCAGGAGCAGGTCGCCGCTTTCTTTTTCGTGCCGGTGGTGGAGACGACCATCGAGGAGAAGCATAGCAGGGTGAGCCAGGAGAACAGACGCCACCACATCGGGCCAGTCATGGTTTCTCTTTCAAACCGCATGCCTTTATTAGAGCGGCACTTGACCAGGGAGCCGAACATGATCGCATCCTTGATCGAGGATTTCGAGGCGGCTCGGTCTGTTGCCAAGATTCCAGCCCTGCTCAATTTCGAGACGCACCCAGTGGTCTTACTTCCAGAACGCGGTCAGATGACGTCATGGATTCCTCGCATCACAAGTATATTCTATCACTGCGACCTGGAGAACGCGTTCAGGTCCATGAAGGAGTTCAGGAAGTTCGACGACCAGAAGAAGAGCAAGCGCGGCAGGGACGAGGCCAAGTTGTCCAACACCTTCGTGCACACCGGCGAGGACACGATCCTCCGCTTGGCCATCTCGGACCACTTCAGGCAGGTGTACAGCTCCGCGTCTGGCAGCTTCTTCTCCATCCCCAGCGCGGCTTCGCCTCAGATGGAGTCCGTGGATCAGTGGATGAACAGTTGCGCGGTCGAGGTTGCAGAGAGAGCTCGCGACAAGAGGTTGCGCGGCGACTTGGCGGGGGGGCCACTTCTCCCGATCGAGAACATCGACCGGCCGGGCGACACCGATCTCGTGTTCAAGGTCTGGCGGCGGGGTGAAAGGGGGAGGAGTAAGACAGAAAGATCACGCAGCGGAGCTGAAGGAGCCGGAGGAGACGGAGGGGGAGGTGGAGGAGGAGGTGGAGGAGGAGGAGGAGCAGCAGGAGGAGCAGCAGGAGGAGCAGGAGGAAGAGGAAGCGGGGGATAGGGGAGGTGAGGGGCACCGAGACGTGGGCGGGCATTGCGGTGATGGAGGTAGGGGAGGCGTGCTGAGAACGGTTGCGTTGACCAGGGGAGGGGGGGTGCAGAGCACGTTCAGAGGGGGTCTGGCGGGTCTGGCGCGATCATCAGCCCAGGTCTCTTCGACAACGATCGGGAACAAGAAGACGGTCAGGATGGCTCCTGGGGCTGGTCGAAAGCTGGCGAGGACGGACATTGCAGTGGCAGTCTATCCCGTGGACGGGTCGAGAAGTTCGGAGGGCAATTTCATCGTCCGGAGCAGCTCGAGTCATCTCAGCACCCACATCCTTCACGACTTCGGGGCGCCTTCCGAGCTGAAGGGCGGCCTGAAGATCTGGTCGCACGAGGGCTCGCTGCACTACACTATTCCAGGAGTGCCTCGCGATTTAGCTCCAGAACCTCAGCTCTCCTATGTAGTTACAATGATGATGGGTAGCAGGGCGCATGATCACCCAGATAGTGACCTGTCGCTATGGCCTGAAGTCACGGACGACATCAAGGGCCTCGTGGGGGTCTTGGACGATTTGGACATTGCAGTGGTTCGCTATGCGAGCGATGGGAAGTTGAGGTGCAGCTTGCGCGAGGAGGTGATTCGGTCTGGGCGTGTTATATCGTTGTGGAAGCTATCGGACCCTCGGCCTGCCCTTGCGGTGAGAGACGTCCCCGTGCACGACCGCACCTCTTGGGAATTACTTTCTGAATTATTGGATGCAGGTTGCGCGACGACCGAATGCGCGACCCAAGCCCGACCCCAGACGTCGCCACTCCTCCCTCCTGTCTACCCTCCCCTGGCGCCAGCGCGTCAGGGATCGAGGCGAGTGCGACCTGAACGCCTACCTCCAGTCGCTCCTGGAGCGACTGGAGGTAGGCGTTCAGGTCGCTGACTGACGTGCTTCAGGTTGGGATGAGTGGCGAGAGGAAGGGGGGGGAGGGGCAGGGATCGCTTCACTTGCCGCCAGGTTGGAGATGGTTGCCGTGGTCTCGCCCGACGCGACGTCATGCGAGGTGCCCCCTGGGCTACAGGCCGGGCGATGCGAAGGTGATGTTTTCGAGCGCGTGCGCCAGCGCGCCCATCCACAGGGAGTACTTGGAGGCGTTGTACCGTGCTGAGGAGACGGGCAGACCAACGGGGCCCGAATGCCGAATGGTCCCCTCTCCTCCACCACCACCTCCCAAGGGGTGCGCCAACCCCCCGCTCGCTCCTCTGAAGCATGTTCAGAAGTCGGCCAGCCGACGGTCGTGTTTGGAGCCGTTTCCAAGTGGCTTACGCCATTCCGTCGACCCCAAAAATGAGTTCGAGCTTGTTGCGATAGTGGAGGTTCCGTCGCAGCCTTCGCCCCAACCCGCCACCGTGCCTGGGCTGAGCCGAGCCTGAGCCGGAGGCCTCTTGGATGCATGCGAAGGTCTCTTGGGATGGCCCCCATCGGGGGCTTCTTGGAAGGCTCTTGGGGTCATGTTGGGGAATTATTGGGTCCCGCGCGTGCCCTCTCAAGGGCCTCTGGGGGGCCTCCAGCAGGATTCTTGGGGCCTCTCGGGGGGCATATCGGGGGCCTGGGGGGCTCTCGGAGCCGCCCGCGCACTGAGCTCAGCCAGGCCGCGGCCGCCGGCGACTTCCGATGTAGATCGACACGCGCGTGCGAGGGCCTCCCATCCACTTCTTCTCTCTTCTGTCCTCCTCCCCGCCTTCCTCCATCCCATTCCCCTCCTCGCCGCCTCCATCGCTTCGCCTCTTAGAAACAGCTTCTGAACTGTACGCCCTGCCCGTCCTCGTCATGCCCATCCCTTCCGTCTCCTCCTCCTCCTCCTCCTCCTCGTCCCCCCCCCTCCCCTCCCTCTCCTCGCGTCGTCGCCCCCCTCCCCCTCGTCTTATTGTCCGCGTCTTCCCCCTGCTCCCTCTGGCTCCTTGAATTGGGATGCGTCGGAGGCAATGAGTTTTGGGCCGCCCCTGGATGCCCGGGATGGGCGTTGGCGCTGAGTTTTGTGATGCATGTTTTTTGATTGCCAGGAGCTCTGCGTGCGCATCCAGCTGGTGCCTCACGGTCGGACGGCTGGCGTGTACCGCGACATCTTGGACGGCGGCGACGTCCCGCCCTTGGCCATCCACGACGGCGCTCTCCGCAGTGACTTGGACGATTCTGGAAGGAGGCCTGCCATCGCCGGCGTCGAGATCGACGAACCACCACCGCCGCTCGGCATGCACCCCGTCGTGGACATGGAGGTGGACGACGGCGGCGAGGGCGTTGGCGGCGGCGGGCACGGCGGCATGCCAGATCCAGAGAGTGACGAAGAGATCGTGTACATGCACGACGGCTGGGAGGACGGTCTCTTCGAGGACGTGTTCGGCCTTGAGGGCGAGGGAGGCGGCCACGGCGAAGGCGGCGATGGAGGTGGGGGCGGCGATGACCCAGCGCCACCAGCCCCCCCAGCGCCCCCTCTGCCCCCGCCGCCGCTCCCGCCGCCTGGAGCCGAGGCCGCCGGCGCCGCGGCGGCCGCGCCGGAGTTCGGTGGAGTGCGGGTGCCGCACCCGCAGTTCCCCACCCCGCAGCCCGGCAACCCCGAGGCGTACATCAAGTACGACACCGTGCGCCTCCAGCTGTCCGGCCACTGCCCTTACCATGGGCCCATGCGCAGGCTCAATCGGACAGTGAGATCCAGCCCACTTGCTGGACGGAGTGCTCAGGGCCGACCTCTTGGACTCATCCTCGCTTGGTTGAGGTCGGCCCCCAACTACGACTCGAAGGAGAAGCACCTCGAGAGCTTGGACAAGTGGAACGCCCCGCTGAACGCCCACGTCGAGCACCGCGTCAGGGAGACGTGCCGCAACGACCTGTCCACCTCCGACGCCGACACGTACCGCGAGCTCGCGGCCTTGGAGCGGGAGCGGCGGGTCGGCGAGGGCGCGGGGCCCGCCAACTTGCCTTGATGAGCGCCTGGTTTTGGCGCCGACAGTGAAGCTGAAAAAGACCCCCCTGATCTGTTTACGGCCTCATCCCCGCCCCGTTCACCCTAGCGCTCGAGTCTGGCCTCTCGGCAGTTCGAGCTCGCTCGAGGGCGAGGCGGCAGAGGGGCCAGCGTGGGGGGGGAAGGACACATGAGAGAGGAGGATGAGGGCCAAACGAACCATGAGCTTTCATTGCGCTGCTAGCGAATGAGTAAGGAGGGAGAAGGAGGGGGAGGGAGCAAGAGCACGTAGGAAGTAAAGCAGGCCTGAAAGGGCGAACAACGCGTTTGAGTAGGGGTCAGCGGGATCTGATAATGGGGGACGAAGAGGCAGGCTGGGGGGGGAGCGCCATTGGCGCGGCGGCCCACTTCTCGAAGGAAGAGGTCGGCCCCCTTTCTGAACGGAGTTGCCTCGTTTTCGGACCCGGGGAATGCCGCTCGTTCCAGGGTCGGGCGAATCGGTGCCCTCGTCATCCTCCGAGGTTGGTTGGGGGGCCACGTTGCTGTGTCCTGCGAATGGTGATTCGCGCCCTCTCTCGCGTCCTCCTCCATGTCTTTCCTCCTCCTCGTCCTCCTCCTCCTCCTCCTCGTCCTCCTCCTCCTCCTCGTCCCTGTCCCTTTCCCTCGCCCTCGCTCCCCTTTCCTTCTCCTACCTCCCCCTCCCCCTCCCCTCCCCCCTCCCCCCCCCCCTTCCTCGACCCCACCCCCTCTCCTTCCCCCCCCCCTTCCCCCCCCCCCCCCCCCCCCCCCCCCCCCCCCCCCCCCCCCCCCCCCCCCACCCCCCCCCCCCCCCTTCCCCCCCCCCCCCCCCCCCGCCCCCTCCCCCCCCCCCCCCCCCCCTCCCCCCCCCCCCCCCCCCCCCCCCCCCCCCCCCCCCCCCCCCCCCCACCCCCCCCCCCCCCCCCCCCGCCCCCCCCCCCCCCCCCCCCCCCCCCCCCCCCCCCCTGGCCCCCCCTCCCCCCACGCCTCCCATTCCGACGTCCCCGGTACCCCACACCCCCCTTCGCCGTCCCTCTGCTGCCCCCCTCACCTTTAGCCTCGTCGTCGTCGCCACCCTCGTGTTTCTCCTCGACGCTGCCACCTTGTCTCCCCATTTGAGCGTGGCCTCGTCCTGCCCGCGTTTCTTGCCCATCGTCATCCTCCCTCCTCGTCCTGGTCGCCCTCCTTCTCACCCTCTTCTGTCTCCCAAAACACTTCCGCAACCCTCCCCTTCGCTACCTGCTCCAATCAGGCGGGTCCGGGAGCACAGGCGCCCTCCATTGGAGGCACCTCGTGACGCGGCATTCGGCCACCCTGCCCATCCCCAACCCCCCTCCCCCCCGTCTTCGCCCTCCTCGTCCTTCTCCCCGCATTGCTAATGTTGTTTTATGCCTAAGGCCTAAGCCGTATCCTTCTGAATCCTTCTTGCATCAGTTGGTTGATTATTTCCTTGACCCTCTCCTTTCTTCTCTGCCCCCATTCTCCACCTCCGCCATCCCCTACCCTACTCCTTCCCCTTATCCCTCAATATCCGTCCTGGTCTTACGTTGCCCCTCCTCCACTTCCTGTTCTTCGCCATCCTGCCCCTCGGCCCTCGAAGTCCAGGGGCGCCCGGTCCGCTGTTTGCGAGTGCCCGCTCTCTCGCGGCGCCGGCCTCTGCAGATAGAACGCCCAGGGCCCTTCGAATGCTCGAGGGAGCGCTGACCGCGCCCCCCGGCCTCTGGGGGGGCCGCAGGGCGGGGGGTCACGGGCCAAAGAGCGATCGGGGTCACGAGGGGGGCGAGATTGAAGCGATAGGGCGAGGATCACAGGGATGGTTGGGCGAGCGTGGCGGGGGGTGGAGGCGGGCGTAGATAGGGGGAGTCAGGTTGAATGTCAGAGTAAAGCTCTGGAGGCAGGAGCATGGCTCAATTGTGCACCCGTGTGTTATATATATTTACATACATACATATATATATATACGTATATGAAGATATATATATATATATATATACGCATCCATACACACACTCCGACAGGCATGCATACGCATATCTATACAATCGAACATACATACATGTGTAAATATATAACTACGAATCGATGCACAAGTGTATATGCATTTACATATATATATATATATACAAACAAGGCAAGATGAAATCCCTGCACGTGTTGCAGCACGCAAGTTTTGAAATCGTGGGCACACGTGTGTTTACATCATAATGTAGCGTGCAACGCCGTGTATACATCTTTTAGAATGCGTTATGTTAGCACGCCCTTACTATTTCTAACGTTGATACTGCTTTCTGAACTAAGCGCCATCATGTTTTTTCCTCCACAAGCCTTGAAAAATATGTTTGTTTTCGGCGCATCGTCTTTTCGCGTCTACTCGGCTGCCATGTTCGGCCGTGCCTGTTTCGATTTCGCGATCGTTGTGGTCGGCGTTATAATGTTACGCGGCTTGTTACATATGATAGTTGGCATGTAGTAGAACGTTTGAAAAAAGTGCTGCATCCACACGCGACCCCGCCCGCACTTCGGCACCGCTCATGCGGTTCGTTACCCCGTGGGAAGCCCCGCCCATAGCCCCAGCGGCGGCGCCCGAATGCGCCCATTCCGCACATCGGCACACCCCTCGCATTTTTTGTTGCCCTGTCATCGGGGGCCCCACCTATGGCCCCGGCGC